GAGACCTGTTTTGTTTTCTTTTCTAAACTTACTACAGTGTTGTCATGTCTAACGTTTTATTCTGTAACTGTAAAAAACTGCTCTACTTTGACAAACGTGGTTTGAAACTACAAGAAAGGATCATGAAAAGGCAGCTAACACTGAACTTTAGAAAAAAATTGTTATGCTTTCTCTTGATAACTAAAGTTTCCACCTGTCAATTTTCTACTGTTTGAAGATTAATTGAAAAAAAACTAATTAGATAGGAAACAACCTATTTTGCACTTTTCGCTGCACTAAATAACCAAAAAACACAAAAGAAATAAGCCTGAAAACTCTGCATAATACATGCTGATAAGCTCAAGTCACCAGGGGAGACGTGTAACCAGTTTCCATCTTTGCTTTATTTTGCCATTTGCTGTTAAAGTAACACTCATCATATCAGAGGGGAAAAACACATTCATCTCAGAAAGAAGGTTCTACTGCAGATACGTATTATCATGGAGCAGCTTCCCATACAGAGGAGACCTAACAGGAGGATCACCCTAAGAGGAGCAGAAAAGCACAGCAACTTAAAGTACAAAAGGACAAAAGGGTTTGGAGTAGGGAAGACACTGCTGTTAATTGGGCAAAGCTGCTCTAGTTGAGACTGAAAATAAAAGCTTGATTAAGAAATTTTACACCAGAGTAGCTGCGGCACACACTGACCTGGCTGACAGGAGTCTGCCAGTTCAAAATAGCCAAAGGACCAAATTTAACTTGTTTTTATTAACCGAGACTTTTCCCGGAATCGGGTCAATAGGTTTGGGGGGTTTTTTCCCCCCCAATCACCAACCCTTTGTCTTTTTAGGACTGTAAAAACATTTGACTCTAAGAATAATCACAAATAGAGTGATTTCTATTTGAAAGCACATTTAATCTTTTTGACTGTTACAGGCTTGTTTGATCTGCAGTACTTGCAATGAACTTTTCTGTTTATGAAAATCATTGAAACTGAATGGCGTACCTCACACTTCGTGGAAGTGCTTAATATATCTGCTGGGGGTTTGGGGAGCGCAGGGATAAACTGAATTAAAAGAGAATCACCAACTTACTGTGACACTTTCCAAACTGCAAATTTGTCGTGACTACCACGACAATAAACACTTTTCCAAACATGAAGCACATTTTTATGGCAAACTTGTTTTTGTAACAACACACTAACTTTTACTGACAACCATAAAGATTTGACACTGCATATCAGAGAAGCTGCTTTCATATAGTCAGCCCCGGATTCTGCTTCTCTTTGTTTAAAGAAAACTACTTTCTCTACTGGGATGTAACATTAATAATTAAACTATCTATTAAAACCCCATTGCTATAACATGAATCACATCTGCACTCATAAAACATTCATAACAGAGACGCCGTGAGTAAAAGAAATGAACAGCCCTCAAAAGTTAAATGCTCGTGTAATTTGTTATGATGTAAACTGACTAAACTCCTGTTGGAAACCTGTAAGCAGATTAATATAGCTCATTAAGAAGGGTGCTGCCTAATGACTCCCGTTAATTAAGAATGCTCAGTGGGAAAGGTTCTAATCAGATAATTGACTAAAATTCGATTAGAAAATACAACTATGGGGAACAGTATTGACATCCTGTACACGTAACAAGTTATAATTTACAAGCAAAATTATACATGCAGAGTAAATAAGGAAGTTTGCTTTTATTTTAAGGTCATTAAGGTGTTTTCGTTCCCTTTCATCATTACTGCTCAAACCTTGATCCAAAGCCTAATGAAGTCAACTGGAAGGGTCACATCAATCTCAATGGCCACGAGCGGTGCGGCGCACTGAGTAAGGCCCCGTCCCTTGCCAAGGGGGCAGCGTGAGGGAGCTTCCAAACTGCCTGTACTTGAGCGGCAATAAAGAAAGCAGGCTTCACCCCTGCTTACCACTCTCTTCTCTCAGTAATGCAAAGCTGCTCATCAGAGTTTTGTTGTTGCTCTTTCTGGGGAGGGATCTAGATAGCGCCCAAAGAACTAAGCCTGTCAGAATTCAGTTTCAGTACCGTACCCTGACATTTAGTAGACAGTCAACTGTTATTGCCATACTTGGGACCAGAAAGGAAGCATCTTTGAGAGCAAAGGCAGCAGGTTACTTTTTCCTCCCCGAGTTAACAGTGAGTGCTGGCCAGTAAGCAATTGCTGATTTTGGTTGACAAACGGCTTGGCTGGCTCCAAGGCACAAGGTGCTTGAATCCCTCCTGCCAAGACCATAGCGGTCCTTCATGTTATTGGGGATTGTTTCCAGTTTGACAGCTGCTCCACAGTAACGAAAACTTCAGAGCTTTTGGTCTGAGATCTTGTTTAGGAACTAGCAATAAATGGAGGAACAAGGCACACGCATGAGAGGAAGGTGTGAAATCAGGGCAGAGGAGATAAGAATTCCTACCAATATGCCCAGTTCTCTCTACAAGAGAGCAGAGAGCAATTAGGAACAATTAAGATAATGCAGATTGCACCTACGTGGACGACAGAGAACAAACAACCCGGACTCTCAATCTGAGCCAGTCACACGCCGCTGCGACACACGCGTTGCTCAGTGACAAGGGGCCATTGCGCTTTTATCGCTTTTAGTCAGATGAACCTCAGAACGAGTTCAGCTCTGACGTCTGACTTTACATATCAGCTAGGCTTACTAGCCTGCATGCAGCACCACACGAACTCAACCACGTGGTCCCCACCGCCAAGCTAGTTCTCAGTTAGCTGGCTCATCTGGCCACACCATGTTCATCTTCCAAACGACAGGCAAAGTGAGAAGTACGTAATAACCCTGCTTCTTTAATGAAGGACAGGACACCTAACCCTAGGAACATTTTGTAAGCCCTAGCAAACTTAGGTTATTTACTGAGGTGCCTACTGTATTTGCAACCTGACTTTACAAAATGGCCAGATATTCTGGAAATACACACTGGAAAACAATGGTCAGTAGAGAGCACAAAGCTGGTATTAAATACTCGTCTCACACCTGAAATCACTGGATGTTATAAAAAATTTAGACAGTTTTTTTCTTAAATCATAGCCTTAAGCTTATACGTAAAACTGTTTTATTATAGATTAGTAACTTACTATTCTAAATACTGACAATGGCCTGTTGGTTTCTGGGAGAGGATGAGTTTTTAATATTACTAATATACACATATTGAATGTTAAATAAATCAAATTATTTTCAGTCCTGAGTACAAAGAGACTATGACTGTGTTTCCAGGGAATATGTCAAAAAGAGTAAATATAAAACCATCAAGGCATTCATTTTCTCATTCAAAGTGGGGATTCAGTTCAAATACAGACAGTCTGACTACTTTTTTTATGTTATTATTTCAGCAGAAATGTTTCCCCTTAGAATCTAGTTACAAAAGATGACAGTACATATTTTCACTTGTCCTTCTTGCCTGAGGGGTAAGCATGAGTTTTCATAACAATGATGCTAGCTAGCTGTGATCCTTAAGGGGTACAAACAGAGAATGCACAACAGTTTTTAACAGCTGACACTGCCTGAAGGTATCTCCCAGTTTGAGGGAAATCTTATGGAACTTAAATTGGTTAAAAAGATTAAAAAAAAAAAAAATCAAAACCAAGATGCCACCGAAAAGTCCACGTCAATAACAAGTTAGGATTTCATAAGAGTATCCTCATGGATTATGTGTAAAAACCCCAATAAACTAATTCAGTACTGGTGTGGGTTGTACGTACAAATACAGCCTCAAGAAGTTGAGGATGTCTGCGATGATGCTCTACAACGCTGCCTTGTAGGCCCGCGCCAGAGACCAAGACTGTTAAAATAAAAAGCCCTCACTGAATCCATGGCCCCACCTGCTGTAAGACTGCATCACTGAAATCTGCCTAGATGACACTGCAAACCCTGTGCCACATATCCTGTGGAGGATACTTAGTCCATCACTGCAGCAGACAGGGCAAAAGAGCACGAGCTTTCCTTTGATGAAGGCACAGATTTGATCAAACATTAAAATGAATGTGTATCCCTGAGGTAAGATCATTCCAGCTAAATTCATTCCTCTATTCCAAGAGAAAAGAGAGTCAAAACTACCATAAATTTTATATCTTTTTCAGACTACAATAGACCAAACAATTCACAAAGGAGCTCGCTGTTGCTACGCTGCTGTTGATACAACAGATTTGACCTACGTGAAGTTTAAACATATATCAAGTCAGATAAAAAAAGCTCCCAAACTGCTCCTCCTCTTGGCTTTTCTAGGACATTTACAGAATATCTTTGCTCCCACCTGTTCAGCCAATTTCTGTCCATGATGTCTGCATCAAAATTTATCCTACTACAACCACTTTTTATTCAGATTATGTTTCCAGACTTCCTAGCTGGCAGGTAACCAAATCATCAGCAATTCTAATTCAGCTACACAGAAACATATATACAGCAGACTCTGCAAAATGAAAAATTGCAGGCCCAGTAAAACCCCATTACTATAGGCTAGCCTAAACCACTAACATGCTGAGAGCCTACTTAGTTTTTGGATACTACCTGAAGAAAAAAAGGGAGAAAGAGATTAGTATAGACAGCATGAAACCAATGTAGAGGAACAATCACAGACCAGGAGAGCATCCAAGTCAGCTTCCACAAGTAACACTCCAGGATGTCATCTTCCTCCATCAACCTAACTAGTCCCTGGTGATTTACCAATATTCTATAAAAATGAGCACCAAATGCTGCCAAGAACTGTCATGGTAGTTTAGGAAAACATCTCAAAAAACATGACTATGCAGCTAAAACATGAATACACAGCTAATGCCCTAGCTGAATTCCTGTAGTCCAGTACTGCCACCTACCAAGAAGATCATGACCCGAGCCTTGCAAATATAACCAATGCACTCGCTAGTCTGAGAAAGAATCAAAAACCTAATGCCACTCTTTGCCAGAGCAGCCAATCATTCATTCACAGATATGCAACAGTCCAAAAAACACGTTCTGGGGTCACCAGTTTTGCCATCCACTGTTGAGCACCATGTCTCAGGACAAAGCAGTCCAGAGAAGCTAGTCAAAGATCATCTACAAATCATTCAACCAAATCAACATCCTAAGGCCCAGTATTATGTGGATTCAGATCAGAAAACGTCATCGACAGATGATTTTTTGTTGATAATCCTTCTCATCTTTCAGGGATTCCATATAGCAGACTGGTGAGCCTGAGATACTCCTGTGTCAGCAGAAATTAGTGGCAGAAAAAACAAGTCAAAATGACTTGAGGTCTTCCTGAAACTGCTCCTTCGCCGCCGGCCTCTTCCATTTGCAGAATCTCACTAAAATAAATTATCCCTAACACACATGCAGTCAATATGCAAGTTAAACAACAAGCAGATCACAAAGTTCTCCCTGTCATCACATATGACAGCATCAATTTTGGAACAAAAATCTCCTTGTTTACTGGAAGCTGCACCTTGGTGAGACTGGAATGATGTTAAGGGGCAGGAGAATATGTTTTGGCCAGTTTACAGACACATCAGTCTCCCTTAGTTGAAAGTATACAGTCACAATTGACCAGCTCAATCCATGAAGTAGCTCTTGGACTCACTGCTGACATGAAGCTCATACTATATACTCAGATATTCATACCTTTGTCTGCACTATGACAGTGTAATATACTTTGCTTATTTACTTACACTTAGAAGTATTCAGTGTTTAAGACTCAAGCTAGAATGCACAGTGATGAAAATCAATCGGCCAATCTCAGTGTTAAGCTATGCACTGCTCTTGATACTGGTTTCCCAGCAAATCCTGAATTAGCCCTCACCTCCGATAGATATAGCTGCTGAAGCTCTGAGATGAAGATATTTGTTGGTAACCAAATTATTCTGTATTAGAGACACAACTGTATCAGTGAGGGGGGAGCACAGGCTGCCCAAGAACAATGGAATAAACTCCCCAGGAAATAAGGACCACCACAAATCTCATCTTTTTTTACTTAAGTGCAAGGCCTGTACCTTTCACCTTGCTTCTCCTAATTACACTTAAACGTGCATGTTAAAAAGAAGCAAAGATTAAAAACTCCATCCAAAAAGGAACACTGCACTACATATGCTTGTCCCTTTGGAGATGAGAGAACAAATACAATAGACATTCACCACACTGCTCAGTGGACTTTAGAAAGTGCTCAGATACTGCAGTGGTGAGAATGATATAAAATCTAGCCAGCATAAAATACACAGAATATAAATTTCATGCTTCAGAAGACTAGTTAGAATCGGCAGAGAACATCCCCCCATTGTATCATTACTTACAGAACCAGCACGCTCATTTCTGCAAATGCATGCATTCTGAAATAGTATGCACTACAAAGTTTCAGAGTCAAGGTAGACAAGCACTGACTTGAGTTTTTTGTGACATACTCCTGCACTTCAGACAAAGCCTTTGTTGCAGATTGCTTTGTTCTGCTGTTCAACACCAAGATCTAGATGTTACTGTTATGCCCTGTGATTACAATCAAGTTTTGGAGAAGTCATTTACATGATACCTTGCACTGGAATAATAAGGGTTTCCTTCTTCCTCAAACCTCCTAATGATCGGCTCCTTCAAAGCTGCTTCATCTGCTTCAGATAACTGTAATAAAACATGTGAATAAACAAACATAGACAAGATAAGGAATTCTTTAATACTTTCTTCCATAACGAAAGCAGAGCTTTATATACAGCATCAAACAAGAGGAAACTGCCTAAACCTCTCCCCACAGTTTTTTTTAAAACTTTTTTACCTACAACTCTTAAATTGGCATATTTGATGGTGGAATTAAAATACCACTTTTCAAAACTAGGGGCGGAGGGGGGAAAAAGAGTAAAAATATATAGGAAAAAAAAAGCCATATTTGTTCATCTAATATATTTGCTGATAATAAGATGAGCTTTTATTAATAGACTTAACTAAGTATAAGAGTGATTGGGGATTAGCCTTTGAAAAACTACTGAAACTACTTTACTCATTAAACACTGTTCTGACCCGCCTTTGGCAAGGTGTTTTAATAAACCATGTCTGTGTCGCTCTCATGCTGGGTTCTTTCAGGGTCCAAAGCGTAACTCACTGTAATGCACTGTAATTCAGAAAACTTCTAAGCCTCTAACACATGTTACTGACATTAACTACAATTATTCTTCCTCAAACTACTTGCATCATCCTGTCAAACCTAGAGATGTGAGAAAATGAGACAGAGATAAGGGTGACTATATTCTATCCACAGAAAGGCCAAGCAGAGTGGAATAAAGAACTGTAGAGATGATACATCTATACTGCTTCATTATGCTGATCACTACTCATGATAAATTAATCAAATATATCACACTAAAATCACTTCTTATGTGACCAAGGCACCAATATAAACATAAACCATATAAAAGTTCAGCAGAAATTAGTGTACAGAGAAACTGGAAAACGTTATTAAACAATATATCAGCGTTTTAAATTAAAAATCGTGAAGCAAGTCGAAATATTTTCCAAGCCTCTACAGGCTTCTGGTATTACAAGCTTCATAATCCTCAGTCACTGAACAATTTGAAATTCAGCTGTCCATAAAGCTGCCTAACTCAAAAGTAATTGGAAATACACTGTTCTCACATATTCCTCCTCATACTCCCACATGGCGGGGGGATCCCCGGCTGCTCATCTGGGACAGGACTAAGGCTCTGATGCACAAAGTACGAAAAGATGAAGATAGGAAAAATATTTCTCTTTTAAAGCAAAGACAAAGCATGTCATGAATGATCTTTACATTCAGATGTATATAGTAACGTTTTATGAACGTTTCATGTTTATCAAGGCATTACGCAACATTAGGAGAACCTTAGCTCACTGGTGTCTCACTCTGTAACATTTTCTCCTGGCTCCTAAGGTGAACAACTCCAGTGAAAGAGTAAATGATATTGACAGTACTGCAAACGAAAGAAGAAAGATATACCTGTTTTCCTTCCCTTGTTTTTCGGTCCTTAGCTATTGTAGCTAAAACAGTTGCAGCTTGTTCCCCTCCCATCACAGATATGCGAGCATTTGGCCACATATAAAGAAATCTTGGACTGAAAAATACATATAAAACATTAAAATAAAACATTGTCTAATTTCCTGGTAAAAAACTTATACTCAACTCAGCTAAAACTGCATTTTTATTAATGACAACCTTGCATTTTATTGACTTTTAATGAATGCAAATTAATGTACTCTAATGCTTGCAACATTATGTTTGAAAACACAAAAATCCTACTTTTTTCCCACATAATCAGGCATCTTAAACATTTATTTCCCTCTTTCTGACTCCCCTTCATCTTACATATCCCCAAGAATTCTTTTCTTAAAAAAAATCAGCAACAACTTTAATAGCATCAGTGGTCTTGAAAAATCAAAAACACTAATGTGAGTCATATCCAAAGGGTCAAAAAAGGAAATCTCTAGGGGTTTTCCACAAACATTACTCATAAAACCAAACCCATTAAAATGAATGAGGATTTTTTTTTTCATACAAGAAAGTAATCTTCACACAAACACAGAGTCCAGGACTGAGTCCATGCGCTATTGATTGTTTAGGACTGTACAATTTTTCCCCCAAGAAATATAATGGGAGAAAAGCTTAACATTTACACATCAGGAGATCTCCTCTGTCATCTAATTAACTACGAGCCTAGCAATCTCTAAAGGTTTCTATTGTTGTTATTTACTTTTGACAGTATTCACTGAGAACTGTTTGTTTCCCAAAGAGGACAACCACAAAAGTTAAAATGATTTTCAGAATGGTATTTCAGAAGTTGTGTGACAGTCCTATCGTAGTTGTAAGTAACACTTACCTATATGCTCTTCCACACATCCCATAGTTGCCAGCACCATAGGATCCACCAATAATTACTGTTATTTTAGGTACATTGGCACATGCTACAGCAGTTACCATCTTGGCACCATCTTTTGCTATGCCTCCAGCTTCATATTCCCTACCAACCATGAAACCTAATGAGTCACGAGATGAAAAAAGAAAAGGCTCAGTAACTTGATGCCATCAGTAGAGCACGTGCCAAAAACGAGAAAACAGAACAAATCATAGATAGCTGCAAACAGGCTGTTTCCAGACAGGTCAGAGACGTAGACAGAACAAAGCACAAAGATGCTGTCTACATGTTATAGCCGCAACTGCTAACAGCACAACCTACAACGCAGTGAAACTTCGCAACACTGAGCTTACTTACCTGTAATATTTTGCAAAAACACAAGGGGAATATTTCTTTGACAACACAACTGGATAAAGTGTGTGCCCTGGGAAAAAAAAAAAAAAAAAGCTATTAAACGTGGTATCAGTAAAGCTATCACTACTAGCACTCTCTGAAGTCTGTGACAGCCTGCTTCTCCTGAAGTCTACGGCAGTATTTGCATCATAAAGTGCTGGCAAAACATTCATTCACTCTAGAAGCAAGAAGATGCCAAGAGTGTGCAAGTTCAAGGGTAAAGCAAAAACAATATCCCTGAATAGTATTTCTGCTGACAGTGGAAAGCTCAACTGTTTCGACTTAGCCAACATACATTTAAACCACACACAGTTTCATAGCGCAGCATCTGACACGGAATTTTGTAAGACTGTGTCATAGCCAGTCAGAGGAAAAAAAAAAAAAATCTCCCCGCTCCCTGTACAAAAGAAAGTTCTTCAATGAAGTTGGGAAAGACCCACATACAGCCTTTGCCTTCCACCCCTCCAACTGTAACATTCTGTCCCCTTTTCTCAGGACGGACATAAAATACTGTCTTTTTTAGCCCTCGTCCCTCTCCCCATTTTATAGAAAAAGACAATTTTTCCAGCAAAGATAACAACAACAGATTCCAAGCCTCTTGTTTCAGCTAGAAATAATCTAAATCAGTAGAGTTTTAAGCTGTAACTTGATAACTGCTTCTACTAAACTTGGGGCTAATTAAAAGCCAAGGCACATGAGCCTTGTGTAGCGGGAAAGCCACTAACAGCAGCTTGCGGATGACAGCGTTTGATATTCTAGAAAGAAAGGTCAGGCTGAGCACTGTGACAAAATCTCAGAAGGGAAGCTGGCCCAGGAATACTCTCCAGAAATTGTAAAAGCTTTCCTACCTTTCTGCTTTTGTTTAGTTTTGCTTTGCACTTCAGTAAAGTGGATCCAAGTTATCTTTTGCAAAACTACCTGCAGTTACTCAGCCTCTGTGTAGCTGGCCATTGCTATCCGTCTCAATCTTGCTAGTTCTTCCAAGTTTTCAATGTTAAAAATTTTTTAACGTTCCAGTTAAATTTAACGTTCCAAAGCTTTAAGGTTTTGGCTGGACAGTTGATGAAGGTTTAGGATACAAACAAGGCATCCCACAAATCTACTGAACTTCAGGCTGCATTAGCCAGTTGGGCATGGCTAAAAATAGTGAAGCTGTGCAAAAATCCAGATTATCTACTAAACCAGCAAAGAAGTGAGATGGGGTTATGCAGTCATTACCCAGGATATTTTAGATTCCATGTTCTCTTTGCTGTATTCTATTACATCTCATTATACATGAAAAACAATATGCACATTTCCTATATTGTAAAAGTAAAACCAGTGTTTTTACACTACTGGTAAAAAATAAAAATCTTCATAATATAAAACCAAAATTTAGGAAAAGAAAACAAAACCAATGATAAGGCACAATCTTTAGCTAGCTTTTTCAGAAAAGCACTTGAAAAATACAGTGATCATCATGAGAAAGAGACACTGCACAGTATTTCTACAAGTTCTTTTTATAGTTTCTGAACTCATTACGAAAACTGCAAAAGGAATGTAAAAAAAGGGACATTCTTAGATTATGACCCTTAAAGAAATGAAATCATAGACGAAGGTCTCTCTCCACTTATTTAACAAGCGATACTTGACTATCTCCTCTTACAGAACTGATACATCAGCAGAAGTGAGCATAGAGAGGAAAGTTCCTTTATTTTTCCCCACCACTGAAAAAACTAAGATTACAACAGTCATCAGAGAAATACTTAAAGTACAAAAAGGATAACGGCTTATTTCCAATTTGGAAGGAACTGCGTTAAACAAATGCTCCTAGAAAACTGTGTCACTGCAGCGCCCAAAGTTCAAAGTACTCTCCAGTACATGAAACTCAACTGTGTGTATTATTTTAATAATCTATAAATCAGGTAAAATTGCTTCCTTTCTCCAAATCCCTCCTAACAGCCTCTTATTTCCATATAGATTTTCAATATTGACTTCCTCACCATTAATTTCAGGATCCAGCCAAAAGAAAACAAGCATATGTCACTTCTATTACAAAAAAATCTATTGGTAATAGTTTCTTGGAAAAAAATACAGAAATTTGTATCTAAACAACACAGAACAAGGTAAGTAACCACTCCGCCATATACAGAAACTCTGGAGAGTTCCTCAAGCCCTGAGCTCAAACTGGAAAGCACAGTTAATTGTAATGCACTTACAACATTCCATCAAAAATGCCCTTTAATTAACAAAGCAGGTATTTTAGTTCATAGATTTTATGAGAACGAGACAAATATATACGCATATTTCATACATTAGTCTAACCCAGAACCTGCCGAGGCAAAGTATGAAAATCGAATCTGTGGTAAACCAGTGAACTATTATTATAATCCAGGCTGGAAATTTTCCAGTTATTGGAAAAACAATAATGTGATGTATCGCACCACTTCAATTTAGAAGTTAAATATTCTAACAGTTTTTTTAAGCAATCAGCATAGACTTTCTCGTAATAGCTGTAATTTTCAGGATATAGTATTTCAAACTGTTGTTGCAATTCTACTGTTCTTTTTGCAACTATGTTTACCTATCTATTTCACATCAGAAACATTTACAGAACTGTTTCTAAAATCGTCAATTATTTTTACAGTTTATCAAGCTATTTCTTGTTTACTTGAGGACTTTTCAGCCAGTTTATGTTCGCATTTTAAAGTAGTCCCTCATTTTAAAAGCTACTTCAAGAGCAAATTCCCCATAAGAACTTTCATTTCACGACTGCAAAGCAGCATAACAACCTACTTAGGTACCTTCTTTGCTGACTCTGAGAAGAGAACTCCATTGTTTCCAATAATTCCTACTGGATAACCAAATATTCTCGCGAATCCTGAAGGAGAAAGGTAAGTTTACACATTTTCAGGTATACATATTTTACTGTAATATATAGATAATACTTTCCCTTGATAACAACCGTTATCCTTTCGAGGAAAAAATTATTATTAAAAAGGTCAATGGGTGAGCAAAACAACATCAACTGAGCTGGGATAAAACCAGCGGGAACATAAACAGAGTCATTTAAATATATTTTTTAAATACCTGTGATTAAAGTATCCCCATACAAGGCTTTGAATTCATCAAATTTACTTCCATCTACAATTCTAGCAATGACCTTGAGAAAAACAGAACAATAAAATGAGACTCCTAATCCTTTAGAGTTTCTAATCAGTTTAGAAAGAACATGCTAACATCCAACTGAAAATAAACACTTTCCATTTAGAGAATGTCAAGCAGTTTGCTATATAACATAGCCTGGATGGCAGGCAAAGCCCATTTACTTTTTAAAGTGTTGTTTATCTACCTGCTAATGAAAAATGGAATTTCAAGATTAAGAATATTGTAACTAAATTGTTAAAATTATACACTATGAAATATCTTCTGATTTGTCCCATTTCAACAAAAACTGGTAACTCTGGGTACGTTAACCATTAATCAACAGACTCAAATTTATAAAGACAAACATATAATGAGGCATGAGTCACTCTGTTAGAGGTAAGTATATTTTCAGCTTTGCTTAAGGTTTTGACATACAAAAAAGATGAAGATCTGTTCTGAAGTTTCTCAGAGATGCAAAGAAGCATTTTAAATAAATACACATCTGTAACTAGTAAGATATTTGCCAGGTGATATTTCAAATTTAAAAGAACATAAATCCAAGCTATTAAAACTTTCCAGGTTGTAACATAAGCGAGATTCAGTGAAAGCGTTCATATTTTTCCCCCTTAAGGCAAAGTGAATCCTAGTAACTTCTGATAAAGTATCTCGGGAATGCGGTACACTAAGACTCTTTCTAAAATAACTACGTAGCTGGTAGTGGAAAAAGGCTTTGGATACGATCTGCGTGGAGGATTGGGGAGGATATGGTCTCTGAAGGTATTGAGGCACGTAATTACTACTAAATCTGTAGCAGAGAACAATAGTCTCCTTATGGGGTTGGGAGAGCACTGAATTGTTTCGTAGGTTCATACCTGCACAAATCTTTAAACATTTGATATTCCACTTCACAGAATTAGTAGAAAAAGAAAACTACGGTATCACTTCACATCAAATAACTGCGAGTCTACAGAATGTTTAGTCAATGCAAAAGCTCACTGTTTCCTGGCAGCTTTTCTGGAATACTATCAAAATCTAGCCTTTGCTCATCCTTCTTAAAAGTACAACCAGAAAGCATTACCTCACATTTTTAACATCGCATTGCCATTGTAATGGCTCTATTAGACAGTACTATCCAAAACATATTAGAAGATTTTACATGTACATATTCATTACATTCCCAGAATCAGACTCCTGCATACAAACAATGATGACATAAACAGTGATTCCCTGCAAGAAAACTGAGCGCACACGTGTATGTGCATGCGCGTGTCGTATTTATATTCAAACCTCTTTGACATCAAAGT